ACAAACAGCCTCTAAACTCCACTATTACTCACAGAAATATACAACCGAAGAAAAGGCCCCACGTACTGGATGGAAACCTGGGGAAAAAAAGGCTTTCACATGAAAGCAGGGAGCAAACCATAGCCTGCTACATGGGGAAAGATGAGTAGAACACCCCTCGACCGCTGACCTTTTCAACAACGGTTCTAGCAGCCTGCGGTGCCGACAGCACTGCCAGTGCTGGGAGGAAAGACATGCCAAGGAGTGCGGTGAAGGACAGGCACACAGGTGGGGCCGGGCCACCCACAGCCATGGGAGGCAGCTCTAGGCACAGCCTCTCAGTCCTTCCCCAGAGTCAGGAGGCAGGGGATCAGGGTTCTGGTCCCCGTGATTTCCTCTGTGACCTTAAACTGCTTACAAAAGCCCTGAGCTCTGTTTCCTCATCTGAAATGAGGATTAGATCACCCGGTTCCATCTGCTCTTAATGGACAATGAGATACTACTGACTTTGATCATCATGAAGGATGGGGAGAATTTACTCCAAAGTGGACTCTCTGCCTCCACCTACTGCCTATCCTGTTACTGAAACGAACGCTTCTAACCATCTGCACCCTGCAGGAAGGCGGGGGATGCTGCCAAAAACAACAGATGGCCATCAGTTTGGTTTAGTACTCCCTCAGCTATAGCCAAAGAATTTCTCAAGTTGTTATAACCAAATTACAAACAGAAATATGAAGAGTCACAAAGCATTTGGGCCATTTCCCCTTTCCCAGCTGTGTTGTCTGAAGTAGAAGGCTCTACTCCTGAGAATTCCTTACAGCCAAGGGAAAGGTGCCAAGCTGGGGGGAAACAACAGCAGTTTCAAGTTCAATGAGCCAATTCTCTTCCCCCACCTCAGGGCAAGAACATGCAGAGTCACAGGGAGGGCTGGGCATTTAGAACCTTGGTAGCCGGAAGGGTACCTGCGAAGTTTAGAAAGGTGTACACTGGAGGCGACTGGAATGCACGATGCGACTATCTTACTCCCGCTACATAAGAGGTCATTTCTCTAAAACAAGGTTCTTGGGAATTGCTAAAATAATTCAACTTTGGCTACTCGTCTGTGTAGGATGTTTTCTAGCTGTTGACCTCATGGAATCAAATTTAAAGGAAACAAAACAACAAACAAAAACACAAACTTGATGTAAAGTTGTAAGATGTCTTCTTCTATCCCTGGTCTGTGTCTAACTCTCTTTCTGGGTCTTGAGTTCTTCACCAATTTGGAAGTCAGACTAAAAGATCTGTCATTCCATCCAATGCAATAATCCTATTGAAGACGTTTTACCTAGACATCCAGGCCTCCCTGTGCCACTTTATTTTGCAGAGTGAAGCTGGTTGCCATGACTGTCCCTGAGTGACTTTACTGAGCACACGCACATATGTACTCCTTGCCGTCTAGAGGAGGGCGCACACACGGCCAACTGAAAGGCAACATGCACTACTGCCTTCTGCATGGGTCCCTGATACCGACAGCACCTACACAGGGCTTTCGTAAAGTCAAATGCCTCAGTAAGTGGTATCCTAGCATGTTTTTAAAAACTCTGCAGCAGAAATTAAAGATGACCTCAAAAAATGGAAAGAAATCTCGTGTTCATGGATTGGAAGACTTAAGATTGTGAAGATGGCGAGTCCCCAAAGCAATCTACAGATTCAAAGCAGTCCCTGTTAAAATTCCAACAGCCTGTGGGTTTTCTTTCTTTCTTTTTTTGGTGCAGAAGTGGAAAAGCGGATCCTCAAATTCATATGGAATTGCAAGAGGCCCGTGATAGCCAAAATAATATTGAAAGAAAAGGACAAAGTTTCAGAACTCATATTTTCTGATCCTACCAGGAAGCTATAGTGATCAAAACAGTATGACACCAGCACAGGACAGATACACAGATCAACAGAATAGAATGGAGAGTCCAGAAATAAACTCACATATCTCTGGCCAACTGAGCTGACAAAAGTGCCAAGCATCCATTTAGTGGGGAAAGAAGAGTTTCTTCAACGAATGGTGCTGGGACAATTGGATATCTACATACCAAGAATAAAGTTGGTCCCTACCTCACACCACATACAAAAATTAACTCAAAATGTGACCTAAATGTAAAAGCTAAAACTGTTAAAACTAGAAGAAAATATCTGAGTAAATTTTCATGTCCTGGGATTTGACTATGGATTTTTAAACATGACACCAAAACGTAAGTAACAACAACAACAACAACAACAACAACAACAACAACAGATATTGGAACTCATCAAACTTAAAAACTTATGTGCTCCAAAGGACATTATAAAGAAAGTGGCTAAAACACACAATGGGAGAAAATATTTGTAAATCACATAGCTGGTAAGAGTCTATTACCTAAAATGTATAAAGAACTCTTGCAATTCAGCAACAGCAAAATAAACAACCCAATTTAAAAATGGGCAAAGGACTTGAACAGACATTTCTCAAAAAAAGATTTACAAGAAACACATGCAGAGATGCTCAATCATTAACCGCTAGGGAAGCGCTTATCAAAATCATAAGTTACCACTTCATATGCATTAGGATAGTAGGATTTAAAAAAAGTAGTACTGGAACTCCCACACACTGCTAGTGGGAATGTAAAACAGCACACCTGCTGTGGAAAACAGTTTGGTGGTTCCTCAGAAAGTTGAAAACAGAATTACCTTATGAGTCCAATCCCATTCCTAGGCATACTTATACCCAAGAGAAATTCAAACTCGTACACAAGTATTTATAGCAGTATTCATAATGGCCAAAAGGTGGAAACAATCCAAATGTTTATCAACAGACAAATAGACAAAGTGTTGCATATCCATACAATGAACCATTAAGCAAAAAGAATGAAGTACTGATACACGCGCAATGTGGCTGAACCTCGACATCATTATGGTGAGGTAAGTGAAAGAAGCTAAGCACGACTGTATGAAACACCCAGAGCCGGCAAACCCACAGACAGGAAGCAGGCTGGTGGCTGCCAGGGGCCAGGAGAAGGGGGCACAGGGTGTGACCGGTTAATGGGTATGGGATTTTCTTTTGGTGTAATGAAATGTGAACCATTTCAGACGACAAAATGGTTACCTTTAATATTCTGTAAATTTCTCAATTAAAAAATATCCAAAGATAAACCAGTTAAAGATATAAACCACTTAAGATAAGCAACTTAAAAAAAAAAACAACTTCTACATAGAAAGAGATTATATCAAGTGCTGAATTCTCTCACAGAACAATGTTTATAAACTTAAGAAGGAAGAAAAAATGAATTAAGAAGTTAGAACTTTGAGAAGAAAACAGACTTTGAGTTCAGAATCTGCACTTCTTAGTGGTGGGTCCTTCGTGCTCTGATTCTCCAGCAATGGAACCCTAACGCCCAGATAAGGAGAGGAGCTTGGGCCGGAAAGCCACAGAACAGATCCGCATCTCTGACCATCTCTCTGCCTTAATGACCCCTCAATGGCATCCAGCAAACCACTGGTCGTACAGACACCAGAAAAATCCCCCAAGATGGGGAGGAAAGTGTAACTGCGAGGAAGGGGAACAAACAAGGAGTTAACTGGTTCTACCAACCCCATCTCCTTTGCAAAGACTGTCCTCTATGGTTGCTTACCACCCAACAGCTGCTCATGATAATCAATGTCTGACAGATCAGAGAAAGCCCTTAATGTGTCGCCAAGCGGCAGTTCAACAGATGGCATGGTGACTTACGACCAGAATCATTAATTACACTCTCTTATTAGTCCCGGGGCACAGTGCTAAAAATGCTTCCTCAGTGCAAGATGAGCATTTCAGATAAATGACCGTCTGGTTCTGCCTGCGAAACTCCCTTTAGGATTTTTGGTCAGTGTTTATTTCCAAATCCAAGCCACACTATCTTTACAGCCGTTTCCCATATTCCACTTTCAAGCTGGCCAGGAATAAAAAGTTCCCGATACTGCTACCCATCATCACTCTCATAATCACTGTGGGTAAGGATATGATAAAAAGTACCTGTCATTCATTTCCCTTCTCAAGTCAGATGTCTGTGTACAAAGGCAAACAATAATCTCAGCCATGGAACTAGCTCAATTTTCTCTTGCCTGGGACCAGGGAGCAGTGCTTCCTGAGTGCAGGGCGGAGCAGGAGGACAACCCCGGCTCTGTCTCCACTCATCTACTCCGGTAATTCGTGTACCGTGTGATTAGCTCTCCAAATCCAGGCTGTCCTCCTGTCCCAAACAGCTGGCTGCACCTCTTCTCCAGGTCTCTTAAGAAAAGAGGGGCTGACCTTACAGAAAAGGAAGTCTGGTAGCCTGGGGCAAGGAAAAGTTCCCAAAGGTCCTCGCTGGTGGTTGGTTGAGTTATCTCAAGGGACTAAGTACCAATGTTCAACTGCCATGTACTTTATTAAGAATCCAAACAAATGCATGGTAAGGAACTAGCTCTTACACCCCTTCCCAAAGGCATTCAGACTCATGTCAACTCAGGGTAAAAATTGGTCCCTTTTTAACAGATTGAGAACTGGACTCCATAAACATGACTGAAATTTTAGAACTTTTCACAGACACAGCTTGGAGGCAGACTATTTATTAGTTTTAGCATAATCAAGTTAGAAATAAATCTCAATATAATTCAAAAGAAAAATTTCTTAAGTATTTCCCAAATATCACCAAATAAATAGTGTTTGATTTTGCTGACTCCTGTTCTTTCTGTACCTCAATCTACAAGTTTTTAAAAATGTAAGTTCAAACTAAAACAAGGTTAAGACCTAAATGCTGTGATTTATGAGTTCATCACGTGTTTCCTGCATTCCAATTTGTTCTTTCTTCGATAAATAAAAATGTGACTTCAATTTTCAATTAGGTTCACATAATTGCAATATCTGAATGATGTGCTCATCTCGTGCATTTTTAAAAGACAAAAGAAGTGTTAATTAAGGCATAATAAAAACCTCCTAATGTGGGCTACAGGAAAGGAAACTCGGGAAGTCTAGGTCTGCCTTGCAATGTACTCACTTCTAGTTTTTTCTCCTTTTCTGATAAAACATCTTTCTGGTTCTGGGTATACTCCACCAACATCCGAGCCAGCTGGCGCCGGTCTTCCAGTTCTGCCGCCAGGCGCCCGTTATATTCTGCTAGTAACAGACATGCTTCATCTACTGTTTTTGAAAGACGTTCAGCTGCCTCTTTGTCTAAGTACAAATGAGACCAAAAAATAGAGACAATATACAAATCACATAGGCACCATTGCAAACATTTCTGGGTTGGGGGTGGGGGGGTTAACAGTTTCTCTCCAAAGGTACAGAATGCAAGAATAAGCCAGAACCTGTGGACAAAAACTGGATTGGCTGACAGAAGAACCCAAAGGCACTTTATTCCTGTCACCAAGACAGCACATTTCTAAGTTACTCCAAGTGAGGCAACTGTACAGGGAGAAGAATCTGGCTAACATTTCTAAGTACCTATTTCCGCAAAAGCTCTATAAATAAAACAAAGAAATACTTAATGTTATATATGGAATAATTTTTCCTTGTCTCCTGAGAATTTCAAAAGCGCTTTCATTGATATTATTTTTGTTACACATTTTTTGGACAATATTTTTGAAATACAAAATACAAGCACTATAAAGCACAAGACAAAATACAAAAGCTAGCACTTCTTGGGTGTGGACACTAAAAGAAAAAGAATTATACAACAGGTTCGATATCATTAGCTAAGGAGCTGGGACTCAAAACCAGGTCTTTAAAACGGACCTATCTGACTCTACCTCTTAAACTACACAAGCCTCGAAGAGAAACTGGGTATTAGCTTTCTTCTTCAATTCAGAAAATATCAGGTCTGGTAAAACAGACTTTTAAATGCTTTTAAATATGATCTATAGTAATAAATGTGCTTTATTAAACCATGTAAAAGAAACAAATTTCATAAAACAATACTATCCTTACTGTGTGCAAAGTGTTTTATCTTCTATTCCATTAAAAAAAATTCTGGATATTACCTACCAGGTTGATTTCATGTCCAACTGATGGGTTGTAATTCATTGTTTAGGGAAAAAAACCCCAAAAACCCTGTACTGAAATATCAAAGCATAAGAAATGGTATTCTTAGAAAGAAGTGATCAACTTAAGAAGTGCTTCTTAGAACTAACGGCTCAACGTTAGGAAATGAGAAGAAGAGACAGAAGGATGATTTGTGTTTAAAAGACCGAATGTAATTAATTACACATGGGTAGCAGTGAGATTAGACCTTTAAATATGTATACCTCATTTTTAAAAGGCCTGTAAGGATCAAAAGAGTAGATGGGTGTTTTGAAACAAAAAGCACCAGGGATTCCAGTAGTTGTATGGGACAAAAAATGAGTTAGACAGTTGCCACTATTACAAGTTGTCAGAGTTGAGAGACCTTGGCATTCTCATAGGTAATTGGGAATTAAGAATTCCCAAAACAGTTTCTCTGGCAAACTGTCTGGCTTTTAGGTGCCTTCTTAACATGAATGTTGGGAGATGAACAGTTGAGAATTCCAAATTAGATCTGACGCCAAAGACCAGGCATTTCTACCCCCTTTAGGAGAAGGGAAACAATGTTTTTGGTGAAGGAGAAGGAATGAGCCAGACAGAACACAAAATAAAGAGACGATCTCAGTCATGGAGGGTAAAGAGGACAGTAGATGAGGAGGCACCCAAAAAAACCACGAAATTTATGTATAAAAATCATGTATTAATTCTTACATGTTTAAACTTCAGTCACCTTCAAACTACTTTCATTTGATGCAATACATCTATCAAGATGTTTTTCCACTGCTCAAAACAGTTTTTAAGCTTGTCAATTCTGATGCCTTTTAGTGCTTCTGCGGTTTTTTGTTTCACTTCTTCCACATCAGCAAAACATTTCCCTTTGAGGACTTTTTTTTTATTCAGGGAAACAAACAAACAAAAAAAAGTCACTTGGGGAGAGGCTGGGTGAATAGGGACGGTGGGACATGGGGGTCATGCCGTTTTTGGTCAAAAACTGCTGAACACTCAGCGCGGTGTAGGCAGGTACTCATAAAATCACCCGTCATGAAATGGGTAAGCATACTGAGAGAGTCTTCGAAAAAAATTCACCGCCACCAAACCCAGCCTCTCACACCACCGCCAGCCGGTGCGCTGATACTCACCTAGCGGGGGAAGCCTGTACTACCAGGAGCACACCCTCCAGAATATTATTTCGGCTTTTTTTGGGTCCCGCCTCACATGGGTAGTCCAGTCTGGGAATAAGCTGCTGGGGTGGTTAGGCTGGTTTTGGCTTTAACTAAATGTTTTTAAATGGTTAATTCATTAAGATGTTTAAATACTCAAAAACTGCAAGGAAAACACAAATATTTAAAATTTTTTAAATATCAATTCTCACTAAGAACTTGTAAAAGGGAGATAATCCATTCACACAAATAATTACAACCCAGAAAAATTACTTGTAATAGCTTTATAAGCTATAGGAAAAATTCAGTCAAAACGTAGCAGCGAGACGCTCAGTTCAGAGAACTTACCTGCGGCGGTCCTCAGGCGCTGTGCCCTCCTTGCCGCACGGATGAACGGCTGTGCGCCTTCCAGCCAGCCCTCCCCGTGCACGAGCATCCCATCCCCTCTTGCTTACTAAGAGGCAGTTTCTGTGAACGTCCATCTCTCCATGCCTCTCCAATTTCTCTTCCTCTCGCGAAGTCCTCCCACCGGCACGCACACATGTTGCTCTATCTCTGCCGCTCTGCAATCACGGCCCCATTTCCCTGCTCCCTTTGCAGCACCCAAGGGAGCTGTCCCAACCCCGGCACCCACCTCCTCCCCTCCTGCTGCCACGCGGCCCACTCCAATCTGACTTTTATACCTGTCAACCCCCTGCTTGAAACCTTCCAACTGGCTCAGGAAATATTTGGGCTCCTATTGTGTACCTAGCACCATTCTAGGCTCTTGAGACAGCACGGAACACAACATACAGGATGAAACCTCTCTGCTCCTGGGTTTGCGACCTTCGGTAGAAAGAGAAACAATATGCTACACTTTATCTATTTATCAGCTGGAGATCTCTGGAGAAAAATCAGGCAGAGGAGAAAGAAAGGGCGTTGGAAGGGAGAACTCTAATTTTAAATAAGGCGCTCAGGGCAGGCTTCCCTGAGACGATACTCAAACCAAGGCCTGAAGGAAGTCAAGAGAACTATCTGGGGAAGAAGGTGACTATTTGGGGGAGATCGTTCCAAGCAGAGGGAACAGCAAGAACAAAGGCCCTGGGAGGGGGAGAGGGACAGGCAGAGGCCCACATGACTGGAGCAGCAGCAGTAGGAAAGTAGTGAAAATCTATGTGGTATCATCAGGCCAAACCGTGGAAACCACTGAAAGACTGGTTTTTACTCTAGGGGGCTGGGGGAGCAGAGGGCACATGATCCAACTTCCATTTCCAAACATCACTCTGATTACCGTGTTGAGAACAGAATGATGGCTGGGAGTAGGGGACAAGGAGGAAGTAGGGAGACCAGGTATAAGGCAATCACTAATCCAAATGAAGATGGTGGCAACTCCCACGAGGTGGTAGCAGTGGAGGTGGTGACAAGGTGTCACAGACTGGTTTTGGTCCTGATCAACAGGAATAATGACGGGGCCATTTACTAAAATGGGGAAGACCATGAGAGAAATGGGTTTTGAAGAGAGGATCAGAGGCTTGGTTTAGGGCAGGTTACGTATGAAATGTCTATTGAGACAGCCAATCAGCAACACTGAACAGGAGGCTGAATGTATGGGTCTCAAGGTCAAAGAGAGGTTAACACTAGTAACATAAATTAGGGATCACTAGTAGGAAAAAACCCCCGTTATTTAATGTACTCAAACTGGAGGAGCTAAACTGTCAATGACCCTACCTAGAGAAGAAGGCTAAGTACTCAACCTTAAGAGGTCAAGAAGTAGTGAAGAAACCAGCAAAATAAACTGAAAAGACACAGTCAGAGAGAGAAGAGGAAAACTAGGAAAATACAGGGTCCTAGTTTCCTATGGCTGCTGTTAACAAATTACCACAAACTTAGTCGCTTAAAACAACACAAACATATTTTCTTAACATTTACTGTGGTCCCTTCTTCCATCTTCAAAGTACATCACCCCGACTTCTGCTGCCAGCATATATCTCCTCCTCTCTCGACTTCCTACCTTCCTTTTATAGGGACAATGTCACCACCTCATGATCCTTAACTTTATCACACCTGCCGAGTGCCCTCCTCCACAGAAAGTGATAGACGAGTATTCACATTTTGAGGGGATCATTTTCTGTCTATGATGCCAAGTGAGAAAGTATTTTCAGGAAGAAATGACCAACTGGGCCAGATGTGACTGAGATCAAGTTCGGATGGCCTCAAGGTGAAGTCGGGCAGGATATTCACTACGGAATTCAGCACTAGAGAGGCTGCCAGCGTCTTTGGTCAGAGGAGTCTCAGGAAGGCAGACTCAGAAGAGAATGGGGGGGTGGCAAAAGGAGACAGATAAGCACAGGCAATCTATTTAGGCAGTTTTACTAGAAAGAATAGAGAAATAAGGCAGTAGCTAGGGGGAGATATGGGTCAAGAAAAAATTTTTACCACATGGGAAAAAATACATGTTTTTGTGCTATAGAGAATAATCCAGTAGAGGGGAAAAAACCCCTGCAAGATGCAAGAGAAAAGGGGATACCTGTTGGAGCAATGTCCTTGAATAGATGAGAAAGAACGGGTCTAGCAAACAAGTAAAAAGGCTTGTTTAGAAAACAGCATGTTCATCCACAGAAAGAGGAAGAGAAGTCAGCCAGCGTGTGTTACTTGTTTTCCTCGGCTACATTCAGCCGTGCATATCCAGCCCAGAAAGAGATGAAAAGCTGGATTTAAAAATGGTGGTTGCCAAGAGCTGGGGGGGTGGGGGTGGGGGGCAGGAGGAAATGAATTGTTATTTAATGGGTATAGTTTGTTTTGCAAGATAAAGAAGAGTTCTGGTAATTGGTTGCACAACAATGTAAATGAACTTAATACTTCAGAACTGTACACTTAAGATTATAAAAATCCTAAGCTAAGTAAAGAAGAAAATGAGGACATAAGGGGAGTGAAGGCTGGGAAAAGATGGAAGGATCAATAGACTATTAAATCCAACAGGGCTTCATTGCCAGAGTTGGAGAAGTAAAGAAGTGAGATGAAATGCTTCCCCTGTGATTTAGAAGCCCCGTGTTGTGCTCTCCAGCTAAGCACGCTCCTGCCTGAAGGCCGTTCCATGCATCGTCCCTCTGCCTGGTAGCATGTCTTCCCCTCAGATAACCACACGCCTTGCTTCCTAATTTGGGGGCCTCTGATCCAAGGTCCTATTACCAGAAAGGCCTTCCTTGATCACCTTTCAAGTCGTGCCTCCTTCAACTGTCCCCACCATCACACCCCGGCTTTGTTTTTCTTTTTCGGCACTTATGCCACAAGGAGATGTGGGTGGGGACACCAGGAGCATCTGCTACACAGTGTGCCTCAAATATTTGTTGAATGAAGCAAGTATTTCATGAGCAACCCTGATTTTCTTCAAATGGATATGGAGAAAGTTAGTGAGGCAGCCGAGTCAAGGGACTGGAAGGGAAAAACAGTGGCTGTCAGAGAACAAGACTGAAAGGCCTGAGCTTTTGTAATAGAAAGAATATAGGCTTTGCAGCCTAGGTTGAAATCCCAGGGTCCACTACTCATGGGACCTCGGACAAGACCTCTAACATCTCAAAGTCTCAATTTCCTCCTATGTGCATGGGGATTTACACTCAGTGATCTCAGAAGATTAACTATTACGAAGAGCAGGAGTATCTGATACAGAGCACGCTATAAATATTAGTTCACGCCTCATTCTTTTCTTTCCATTTCTCATGCATAAAGCGAGAATAATAACTGCCCCTCCCTGTTTCATTGGGGGTGATCATCAACGGGGCGAACTGACACAACTAACAACACGCACCTAGAGTTCCTGGCACCGAAGACATTGTCATCTACGGGGTGTGTCAGTGTAAAAATCACAAAGCACTGAATTATAATTTTTTTTTTTTTTAGTAAGAGAGTAATGAGTTTAACGTGTCCCTCCCTTGGCCCCCAGCCCCCACAATTTGCAGTCTGTTTCCAGCAGACCTTACTGAGACAAGCTGTGGCACGCCAGCTTTTCTGCAGCCATTCCTAGAATCTCTGCTCGAGCTTGGATTATTCCAGCAGCTTCACTGTTTAGCATGTGAGTTGTTTCCAAATCCCATGATGGCAAAGTATCCAATAGCAAATGGGGAGGCTATACCTGCAGACGTCAGTATGCCCTAGGATTTGATGAATCAGAGACACGTCCCTCTCCCCTCATCTTTCACCCAAACTCTACCTTCTCACCTGTTATTTTTTCCAATAGAGAAACATCTTGTACTTCCTGGGGCAAAGAAGCAATTTTCTGTCGGACTGTAGCATCCCCTGACGCGGCATTTTCCAGGTCCTGCAAAGCTTTGATTAGTTCCTCAGTCTATATGATAAAACACAAGAAACACTTTCTGTTAACACTTATGGGGTTTTAAAAAAATTACTTGGGAGTTAATGAGGTGGAGGCAAATTCTATGGTCAGGACAATCATTCCTGACAGTCAAAAGGCTTCTGCAGCATGGACGGAAAGGCTCGGCACAGGGATCCTCGTGGCCGACCCTCAGCCCTCTCCCCAGGGCCCCGAACCCCAGACCCGCTGCACCGGGCTCTAGTCCGCTCTGCCCTCTCTCCGCCGGAGCCCAGGTTTGGTGGCAAATGGGAGGCCAACCAGTCCTCCAGGCTGCACCTTAATGAACGTAGTCAATTATTTCTGAACAGCAGGATTTGAGGAGCAAGCTAGTGCTTTTCAGGAATAGGAAATTGATAGAAAATCCCTGCTATTGATGACAAGAAATGATGTGTTGACAGGACTTCAGTTAAGACTGGGATCTGCTTTGTAAATCTCTAAGTTACCATGTAAAAGCTCTGCAGTCAAAGCATTTGAAAAACAACTCTTTGCAGTACAGTAAAATTGGGGTCTCAGACCTCAAAAATACATAATGACATAACTTTGTTTCATGTGATGAAACTTTGTAACAGAATACATACATGTGTATATGCAAAGATATCGACCAAGTGTATCAACAAAGTGAAACATTATCCTACTGGACAGACTCAATCTATCAGCTGACCTGAATTCAGCTAGGGGAGCAAGGAGAACGGGTAGACAGGATGGTTTTCCCTGCTAATCTGTCAAAGAGAGTAAAAAGAAATCAATCTTCGACACGATTAGATACTCTTCCTCAGAAAAACTTTGAAATCATGAGGATTTTCTTCATTTCTTCAGAGAGCTATCTCAAAATTCTTCTAAAAATTTAATGGAATGAGCATCTTGTGGTTACAGACTTGGGGAGGGGTAAAAGGAGACAGGGACTGCTGTCTCCCTTGAACTCTCTGCTCCTAGAGCTGTTATTGGGATGGAACTGCCGACACCCTTTTTTCTGGAGGGTCCTCCACTTGACCTCATTAAGGTCCCATAGGAATATGCTGTGATGTTTGAGACGAACATACATCTTGGCCCCTTCAAAAGCGGAACCGTAGCTCTGAAAAGAAAAAGCTGCTCTGTACGGGGGGGCGGGGGGGGGCGGGGGGTATCCATACATAATCAGCTGGCTTTCACAGGGGCCAACGGTATTTTCTGCATAGAACTGCTTTTAAATTGGTTCTTTGTTTCAAAAGAAAGCATTTTTTCATTTTATGGTTGTACTCATAATAATTTGTTTCTGAAGAAATTTGCCAAGAGTTACATATCGAAAAGCCTTGTTACTAGTGTAAAATATTTTTTATACATTTCTTCATGATGGTGCAATAATTTCAATTGCTCTGATGCTTTGATTCCTGATTTGAGCACTTGTCTTTAAGAACCTGAAAAAGTGGGCTTGCTACACCTCTCTCTGTTCAGAGACATTTGTTCACTCTGTGTGTGTCAACGCCTTGTTGGATCGGTATTTTGTGGCTACAATAAAGCATGATTTCAGTTCAAATGTCCATGACAGAACATGAATAAAATTCTACGTAATTCTACCTCCTTTCACAAAAATCTATTTTTAAAGAATATTTTCAATTTACAGGAGTGGAAAAGTCTCCAAGTCCAAGCACACTATAAAACATAAATCCATGTCAAAGTCCTGGCATGCAATGACAAAGTCAAGCCCACTGTCTGTCAAGCTTCACCCGGTGGATCTTCACCCAGTGCCCAGAGAGATAGCCTCCAGTGAGTCCATACTACTGGTCACCAGCGCCACCTTGTGGCCATAATCACCAACTGGCACTCATATCACCAAGCCACTCTGCCTTATCCTCTGAGGGTCAAGACGTACCAGGAGGGGTCCTGCAGAAGGGTCCTGGGGAGAGTAGCTTCCAGGGTAGTCGTCATCCTCCTCCTCCTGTATCTGCTGAAAAGTTCGCTTCAGAGATTTCTTCTCCTCTGTGGCTACCGAAAAGAAAAAAGTGACAAATTTGATTCACTAAAGCCTGCACAGGTTAAGAGTTAAATGTTATGCACAACGGGTCACATGTAAAAAAAGGCAGGAGGGGTCCTTTCCAGAGAAAGCTTAACATTAACCTTTATGCCAGATACTTAAATTGGTGGCAGTTCTACATTACTGGAAAAATACTACTGAAAAGAAGCATCTAAAATCATGTGAAACTTACCGAGCTAACAGATTTCATTAAAAACTTCATTATCTTAAAAAAAAAAAAAGTTAACAAGAAAAGTAAAATGGTAAGACAACATAGTGAAGGGAGCTGATGTGTGCAAGGATTTTTAGAGAACACTGCCTGTAAGATAAGATTATTTATGCTTTCTAGGATAAGTTCAGAAAATAGAGTGAAACCCATCAATAAAATTGTGTCAAAAACTCAAAACACAAATACCCTTTAAACTACCCCTTTAAAAACAAAACAATTCTACCTTAAAATTAAAAATAATTGTTAATGAGAAATATGACTGATAACACTGGGAGAAATTAAGTTGCCATTTTTTTAAATTAACCACTTTAGAGGCTAACAGGTTACATTTTTAATTATTTGTATTGTATGCTTTTAAATTATGATAGATGTGTTAATTTCAAAATCATTTATTTTGCATCAAACTGAATACAAAATAAATGCCTAACAGCTGTGGGACATAAATCTAAATGATAAATTTAGGTTTGCAAAGTAAAAGAACTATCAGGCACCTAATGTGTTCTAGGCATGGCAACAGCATCTTTACATTTAATCTTTCCAACAATTCTAAGACATAACATTCCCATTTTACAGGTAAGAAAATGAAGACTCAGAGAAGTTAAATAACTCATTTAAAGGTCTGACTACAAAATGTGTGCTCTTTCCACTTCAGCGAAATTACTTAGTGCCACACAATTACCCCTCTCATCTGTCAAATGAGGAGTCACCATACACCTGCCTCAGAACTCTGTGAACTATGAACAGAATGCACTCTTCTTAACTGAACATTTTCTTCTAGAATCAAGGATGTAGTTCCTGCTCTCTACCTTAAACATTAACTGGTCAAGCTATGTTTGATTATGAAAGCCAAGTCAATATCATGAATTTTAATTTTTCTTAATGTTTTTGTTTGTTCTACCAGAAAGAAAAGAAAAAACAATACTTGCAATACAAGCAGTCCTCACTTTGCACAATTCTAGAATACACATATTTACCATGTTTTAGTTAAACAACACAGTTCCTCAACAACATGGCCCAAATTTCAATTACTGTGGCATATAACTATGAGAAACTGCATGAACAGCAGGCTTCACTACTAACTTCAGTCCAGAAATCTCAATGTGAATAACAGAAGCGCATCATGATCAGTGACGACATCACTTCTCCAAGGTCAGCGATTGGTCCCTGCGCCTGTTACTCAGTTCACACACAGAGAGCAGAGTGTTGTACTGTCTCCTAGTGATAAAGTCCAGGTGACACAATCAAAACAAGGAACTGAGTGATGAAGGGGAAAGCAGCAAAGAAACTAAAACTAAAACTAATGCTGGCAGTGCAATCTGAAGGCATCGGCAGTGGCGCTGCAGGACAAACAGCTGGCTGTGGGACGCTGGCAATGCCACAGGCTCCTTGGAGGCTCTCGAGTCAAAGCCAGAGGAGCTTTGTGAAGGCCCACTTACCAACATCAACTTATCAACATCAACATAAGCAAAGAAAGTGGCTGTGATGAAAATGACAATGTCTCAGAGGAAGTGATGCTGACAAAAAACCTTCATATTAAAGGAACTCTCAGAGATTTTTCACAACACTGAAAATACAAAGAATAAAATGTTGGAGGCGAATCCAAACTTAGAAAGAGTATATGACATTTCATTAAGAAAAGATGCTTGCTTGGTATCATTAATTATACAAGCAAGCAAGTTTTGTTCAAATGACTCTTGATAAATTTGTTACAAAGAAACAGACACTTTAATTCTCAGTGTTTCTAATTTTTTGTTATAGCTCGCTATTAGTTTTACTATCTTTCTTGTATCCATACATAATTGTAATCAGCGGTGAGCTTTTAATTCTTTAACAAAAGAATCTTAAAAGTGGTAGAGCAATCATAACTTTCTCTACTGATTACTGTAACCACTCTGCACGGGCTCAGCTTACACAGTCACTTTACAGTTCTGCGCTACTATGCAATGCCAGGGCTGCCACATTTTTAAAACGAAACTTGCATACGGAATACCCAGCAGTGATTTGCACAGGGTAGCTGCCTAATTCATGTGTACTGTGTGGTATAACACACGTCGACACTTAGCTACTACATTTAGAATTTAAGCACAAGAACAACAACAAAAATTGTAGTGCTCTGTTCACTTCCAAACACCTAGAAGAGCGTTCCATAAATAATTGTTAAATATACTAAATAAGGCAGAAAAAGAATTGTATAACTTGAGTCCTTCAGTTTTCAAACCCTTATACAAAAACGTTTATATGTGAAAACCACACATCACTGAATGCCTCGGGACACTCGGAATCACTGAATGGGGGTGCTGGTGGGAGCACTGGTAGGTGTTAGATAAACCCGCGTCTTTGCTTTCCCCACCTTGTTTTTCATAAGAACATCAAGGTCCACAGGTTGTGGTTTGTCCAAAGACAGAAAGCTCATTAGTCTGAGTCCTATAGCCAAAGTCACCTGCCTCCTAATTTGGAGCTCTGTTTACCACTTCATGCTGCCACTCACTCACAGACTGACAAAGACTAAAACCAAACTTCTGCAAATACCAGGTTTGCTAAAAGGTCTGTTTAGTTTTTTCCATAAAATAAAAGACACATTTTTCATTTTCATGAATAACTTTATTGATTTGGATATTTTGAGTATATGAGCTATCTCCCATGTGGTATAATGTTGACTGTTCTCAATTAATGTTTCAATTTTTTATCACTATCAACTTCAACTGGTCTACCCGTCCGTGGAACATCATCCAGCAAGAAATCTCCAACACAAAACTTCACAGACCACTTTTGTCATGTTCAATCAATCATAGCACCTTCTCCATACATCGCACAAATTTTCTGCACTTCAGCTTGTTTTTCTCTTTCTTGAAATAATAAAGCATAATATGCAAAAAAAAAATGTGGCTTATTTTCTTCCATCTTCAATATTAAAATGGTTACACAAAAATTCACCTATTTTTGACATTTTAAAAAAATGCACGCTGATATGAGAACTGTCTCAATACAATCAAATAAAACTGTTTCAAAGGAAGTTAAAGACAACTAAGTGCTACTGGAGCCATCTTATGGGGAAAAAAACCAAACTTTTTGGCCAACCCAGTAATTTTAGAGCCATTTCTGTCCTTTGCCGTTCTGATGGAAGAGATGCAATAATAGGAGGAAACTGTATCATCCTACTTTTCTAGTTCTCACCTATCTCCACTTGTAGAACCTACTAGAAATGAATTATTAATTATTTCTCATTTCTCCCATTAGGGCGCCTCTTTTCCTGAACTACCTATTTCCATTATGGACTCTCCCACTGGCCTTCTCTTTCACGTATGACACCTTGGAACCACAAGACTGTCTCCCAAACTCCCAACTTCTAGCAGATTCGCCACATCTCTCTGAAGAATAGCTTTATATCTCGTCTTTCTACTCCTTCTCATAGCCTCTTAAGAGCAACCTGGCCCTTACCATGCCTTGTCTAGATCACTGTCCCAACTGGTATCCTTGCCTCCAAGTCTCTCCTTTTCTGACTTAGACGATACTCATTAAATTAACTTCCCTAAAGCTGGGCTCTCAGCCCACGGTGCCTCTTTCAAAAACCTGGAATGGCTACCTAAGCGCAAAGCCTACTCATGGTAATGGTAATACCGTCTTGAGTAGGCCGTCTCTCTCATCCCCACAGCACGTGGCCACTGCTAATTTGCATGGCCACTGGCAGGTACTGGCCTTACCTCTAAGTGTCCTATTCCTTTACGTCCCTATAATACCTAGGAAAGTGTCAACAGACCTGAGTTTGAAACCTCTTGAAGGCAGAGAAAGCACAGAGCTTGGAATGAGCTAGTACTGTGCCAGAAATGACTATCACTGTGTCCCTTTACACCAACAGGACAGCCTGCTCTGGTAACTACCCTGACTCATCTGTACAAAGCTAGCAATTATGATGCCAGTATTTTCAATCTAGTCAGACAGCCATTAAAAATAACCTAGGAAATCTGTCATTCCCCTCCCTACATCTACATTAAGATAAGGCACCCTACCACTACCAATTTCGCTTCTGACTATAGTATTAGTACTTACACACCCCTCTGTACTCACTCAAACACTGTTAGAAGTAGGGCAAACTCTACAGGTAACCCAAGTCCTTCTGCCTTCATATCGCACACCTTCTCTTCTATCCTCCCACCTGCCCCCGTGTCTCTAGCGTAACTCGTACTCATCTAACTTTTAAGTAATCCTGGTTATCTAATTGTTTATTGGGTACCTCTTGGAAACCTGAATTTTGGGAGAATTTCAGACATCAAGGCAAAAAGTTAGTGTGAAGGTTCCCAAATCACATTTAAAATGCAGGCATCTGTCTATAAAGCTGGATCTTCTAAAGAATACAGTTGAAATTTTCTGGGGTTTAAAAAAAAGAGAAAAAGAAAAAACCCACAGATTTTATATTTCTTTTCTAATGAGAAAAGAATCAGGAAATATTGTTTGCAACAGCTTCCTCATTCTTTGTTCCCTCTCTACAAAATTAACAGAAAAGTTTAAGGCCCTGGCCATTAATTAGTTCAACTGGTTAAAGCATCACCCTGATACGTTGAGGTTGCAGGTTCAATCCCCAGTCAGGGCACATACAAGAATCAACCAATGAATGCATAAATACATGGAACAACAAATCAATATCTCTCTCTCTCTCAAACCAATCAATAAAAAGAAATTTAAAAACACATTAAACTTTACTCGTGGAAAAAACATCTGCAACAAACAAAGGGCTGACATTTGAGGCACAGTTCTGAAAGCACTTTTCTGTATCATCTCACCGAACTGAGTGGTCAGGTCCAGACTTGAGCCCAGGGATGCTGGGCCTACCACTTTCTAGTCCTGCACAAAATCTGAGACACTAAAAATACTAGTAAGTGCCTTCCTACTTTTGCTACAGTTCATATTTAGAAACACAGAATATTAGATATTAGAACTGGGGGAGACAAATAAAAGTCCTATCATCACTTGATTAACAGCATCTTACCTACATTAGCTCAAGTAATACAACAATCCTAAAAGGTATTACTAGTAACAGCTACAACGTGCAGTGGAGAACCTGAGGCCCAGATAGGCCAAATGCTGTGCCAACATCACATAGCTCAGAAGTGACAACATTGTGATTTACACCCTGGAAGTCTGATGTCAAACCCCTGCTCTGAAGCTACACTAACTATGTATGAACCAGGAAAGCTGGGTGGCCTGCTCCTGAATTCATACCCGAATTCAAGTCTATTATGCTTTCGGAAAAAAGAACGGTATAAAGAACACAGGCTTTAAAGTCATATAGGTCTGGGTTTGAATTCTCCATTATCAATTGCATCTATTTGTACAAAATTACCATACCCTTGTGAGTCTTAGTATCCTCAACTGAATTATGAAAATAATACCAAATTCACAGAGTACTTGTAAGGATCTAAAATAAATTAACATGAAGAACAGTCAGCAGAGAGGCTGGTGCCTAATGTGCCCCATAAAGGCGATTTCCTTTGTATCTGCCTTTCCTTTCTAAATCCCTCTGCAACTGTACACTGCTGTGGGATCCGTGTGTTTCTCAAAAATAATAAAGCTCCATTCAGTCAAGCAAAAGCGTGGTACTCCCCCCAAAAGAGAGGCACCTTCAGAACACCTGGGTCTGCGCCTCGGGAGACAGGCATGTAACTCAGGAAACCTCTAGCTCTGCAATCAAACTTTTAAACTCACATACTCTCCAATGTCAGAAGAACTGTCAAAGTTCCACAGGAAATTTCTATTTCAAAGATAAATTGTAAAGTTATCTGAAAATAAAGAATTATGCATGACCTAAAGCTGAAATACAAAAGAACTACTGAAATTAGGAAATAAACTTCAGGAGAAATCATCAATATTTTGAAAAGATTGTGGTAAAATATTCTGATGACTCAGGTCCAGAGAAGACAGAGTGGTTAACTAATACACGTGCTGGAACCTTCTGATATGTGTTTTTGTCTTTAGAGAACAGAGGAGAAATTATCTTTAGATCAGCATTACTCTCCACACAGAGGAATACTGCCTCTCTTGTTGTTAATATCTAGACGCTCAAAACACTGAGAAACCCAAAGGAGCTATTTTGAAACCTACCACGGCCACAAATTCCCCAATTTGTCTGACTGCTCCCTAAGTGCTAAACTGTTTCTCACTCCTCTCTCTCGCTTTCCCGTAACATAGCTGTTTACTTAGAGCACACGTCTGGCAAATGCCTGTTGAATTGAAATTCAACACTTAGCTTCAAACATCGTATCTCAGAGCTCTCCTACTTGCCCAGCAGTATTTTTTAAAAATCAGCACTGTTTACCAAAGGACTCTAAGGCAGAGTAAAGAATGCTGAATAATTCCTTAATGCTGTGCAGAATACCACCAAAGGACACAATACAAACACCACCAGCATCCAAAGTAGGAAACTTCTTGCTTTTCAGAAGCTACTGTGCAAAGTGACCCCAAAATTGTTTTTTATCGACTCCAAGTAAAACAACAATGACCTGCCATCTGAAAGCACTTGCATCATTCTTAGCCTCTAACCTCTAGTTTCGCAGGAATATCCTACCTTAAAAGGCACAGAAACTCAGACCTGGAAGAGATCACGGAAGGTTCACAATAAAGGGTTGCTGAATGAATGCTATTATCATGGCTGTATTCTACAGCAGAGGCATGTAAGAAGTGCCAGAGGAACACAGAGGGACTGGCTCCACATGCCAGACGAGGTAGGGAAGGTGTCAGAATGAGAGTAGCCTTCTTGAAGAACGAATTCACCACACAGTGAAGGGGACAGGAGCATTTCAGGCAGAGGTAACAACAGATGCAAAGGAAGGGGTACCAGTAGAGTATCCAGAAGTGAAATTGTTTGGTATGTTCAAAAAATATTGTATATGTGAGGGAATGGCAGAAGACTCTGGAAAAGTAAACTAGTTCAGACTTTAAAGTATCCTAAATAGTATCTTAGTACTTGGAGTTGATCCTCCAGGAAATGCGTACGTGTGCAATCCGACCAAATCGTAGCTTAGAAACGTGTCATGCCAACTAGAATTAAACCACAACTAACTAGAAATGAAAGAGCCACATAATGTTTGATCTTACTTCTCTTTAAAGAAAATAAGCTCTTAAGGACTTGGTAAAACTCACACACATGCACATACTTCTCAAGGATACCCTAAGTTCAGTAGAGACCAAAATCAATGTTAGACAGCAAGCTCACAATCATCACAATATGGTCCAAAATCACATCAATATTTAATGAAACCAAGTTATAAAAGGGCTGAGAGACTTGTCCACAATCCTGCAGTAATCAGTGGCAGAGCTAGGACAAAATCTTAGTCCAGGGTACTTCCTAGGACCCCACAACTCTTTGTTGTTCCTTTCCCTTGTGCACAGAAAGTCTCTGAAAGGCAAGAGAGCCAAGGAGAACAAAGCAAAAGTTAGGGTGTGAAATGATGAATAGCATGAATACTAGAACCAGGCTTACACGTTGCGAGCACTACATAAATTCTCACCATCATTTATGATCATCTCTCTGAAGAATCATATAATCGTTGGTGGTTCACAGCAACCCCCACTGGAGCTTTTCATATTTGATTCGAAAGTAGGCAAAGACCAAGAGCTGTAAACATGTGGTGATGTTTCTACCTTTGGGGGGAGGGCTCTTGGAGTCCTCCATAGACAGCTTCAGCTGCTGTATGAACTCGCCGCCATACACACTTCTTTCTTGCCAGATGTTCAGCAATCTTTCTAAAGGTTTTTTACAGCCTTCATCTGCCTCTCTGCCCAGAAAAGATGAAAAGATATATATAAGCTTGAGATTTTTTGTTTATAATTAGGACAGATGTACTTTTTTAAAAAATCAACAACTGACTAAATGATTTACACATTTAAAAACACAAGGAAGAGTAAGGTATATACTGCGGTAAGTGGACACCCAAAACTTGACCAGAAACTACATTCTTCCTGTGGGGGAATGAGAGAGATTATATGATAAAAGTAATCTGTGTCTTTTATCCCCTTTGAAAGACAGGGAAAACAGGGCAAAAAGCCAATAGCTGAATTTTACATACAGAATTATCAAAAACTGATACTATCAACTGTGACAGCTTGCTTTTTAAGAAGACATTAACTGAGCCCTGGCTGGTGTGGCTCAGTGAGGTGGGCATCCTCCCACAAACCAAAAGGTCGCCAGTTCAATTCCTGGTCAGGGCATATGCCTGGGTTTCAGGACAGGTCTCCAGTTAAGGGTGCACAATAGGCACCTGATGGATGTTTCTCTCCCTCTCTTTCTCCCTCCCTTCCCCTAGATCTAAAAATAAATAAAATCTTTGAAAAAAATTTTAAAAATGACATTAATTGATATCTAGTGCCAGATATTCTGCTGAAAATTAAAGGGGGCTAAAACTTTTCAACTTTTAGGGACAGAGAAAAAAAAGATTAAAAAAACACAAATGTTTGAAATGGGTAATAAATTCACTACAACTCATTAATGCAAACACACCAACACCTCTACATGTATAAATACAATCACACACATATATATGCCAAGACTGATCTCAACTTTAAATTAACCACTTCATAATTATCTTAATTCTGGGCTAGGTCTGTAGTCCATGTTCACACAAAGGTGTCTAATAGATAATCTTAGAACACACTGAGCATACTATAGTCCTTAGTAATTTAGACAGTTTTCGTCTGACACACAATGTTCCTGAAATAGACGGTTTTTCAATGAGGTGACTATAACTTGCACTCACCTAAAATGTCAGACAGTAAAAGTGGAAGAGTGGGGAAGACTTTCTGAAAGGGAAACAAATTCCCTCACCGTACACTTGTAACTATAAAGTTTTCTGGTTTGTAGACCTGTCTGGATGTCAATGATCTTACACTGAATGACTCAAACAAGAAGGGATATCCTGACGTTTTAGTATCTAAGTCAATACCTCTAATAGGAACTTCAAGATGAAATCATCCCAAATCAACTGAAATGGGAATTGCATCCACCCTCAGCCTTGACAGCACCTTTCCCTCAAACTTTCGTTGACACTGAGAGAGAGGTGAGCTTTCAGCCTAATCTGGTCAGGCTGTATTACTTATGAATTGTTAGTGGCAAATCTCACCAAATTGGGGGTAAGGTACTAAGTCAGAGTACATACAAATTAATATTTTGTTGTTGTTAAACCTTTTTCTTTTAGTCAGAGGTTTAGTCAGAGGATAAGAGAAAAAAATCCACAAATAGTTTACAAAACTTAAAAAAATATGAACTAAATATTTGATGTTTGTGATTAAACACTTACTCCACCCTCAAAATACAGCCAGAAACAAATTACTTCTCACTTGTTCCTTGGTCCAAGTCACTACCATCTCTTGCCTGATTACAACAATACGGCCTCGTTACTGGTCTCCCTACTTCCACTCTTAGCCTTCTACAGGCTATTATCAAGCTTAAAAAAATATAATTCTAGCTGTGTTAAGGCAGATCATGTTACTCTTGCTCAAAACTTCCAAAGGTTCTTTTCTCCCTCAGAATAAAAGTGCATGTCCTTATAAAGCCTAGAAAAAGCCATTATTTCTCAGGCCTCACCTTCTTCCCAGTCCCCTCAACAGCTACCCTGGCCCTCCTGCTTCAGGGCCCATGCCCTTAAATTCACTTTCCCTGGAACCACATCCCCCTGGGTGGTGCCCTGGCTCATCTGCTCTCCTCCTCTAGGTGGGTATTTACTCACACAGCACTATTTCAAAGTACACTCCTTACCCCTACTTAATTCTTCTCCATACAACTCATCTAATATAATAGTTTACTTGTTGTTTACACTCTTTCCATTTTAAAAAAAATTTTATTTACCAATTTTTTAGAGAGGAAGGGGGAGGGAGAGAAACACCATTTGCTGTTCCGCTTATTTATGCCATCTTTGGTTGACTCTTGCATGTGCTCTGACAGGGGATCGAATCCACAACCGTGCGGTATCAGAGGACGCTCTCACCAACTGACCTACCCAGCCAGGGCTCTTACACTTTTTCCATTTGAATGCAAAGGCAGGGATCTGTCTCCCTCCCAACCCCCACTACTATCCACCCTAGAACAAGCACAGTAAATACCTAATCGTAATCTTTTTAAAAAAGGTTTTAGATAGTTTTTCGTAAGCCACACAATTAGTTAAAGCAATCATCTTACTACATCAAGGTCCTTCATGCCAGACCTCAACTAAGCACTCACCTGGTCATTCAGTGAAGTTTATGAAACACTGTGCTTGGAATACAAAGGGTTAGGCCTAGGTCCTGATCTCTAAGGGCTTGACCCAGTAGCCTTTTCATTCCTTGTTGGGGGCTTCACATTCTAGCAACACTGGGTCGTATGTATTTTCTACTCAGAACTTGTTTTCTTTCCCTCTTGCTATCACCTCTCCTTTGAATGGAACCCCACAAAGTAAGACGAGGTGAAGAGGGAGAAGTTGTGAGTGATTCAGGTGACTTAAGTATATGGGGAGTATGTAGAAACAGCAGAAGAATCTGGAGGGATAAAGCAGAATTAGATTATAGAGGGTCTTGAATGCCATACTAAGCATGTGGCCTTTATCCTGAAGGCAAAGGGAAGTACCAGTAATTAACTGGTTGGTCTTTTTAACATAAAATCTATTCTCTGTAAATTCTCCTTTCACTTAAAAGAAAGAGAAACTTTAATCATGACAACCAATTCTTATCTAGGATTTAGTTAAAAGGAAAGGGAGGGGCACAACACATACCCACCCATCCACTATCCCTGGGGATACTTGGGACTCAAGACTTTTAAGACTGAAGTACAGTTTCAGCCACAATAGGACACAATGAAAACTGACGCTCACACCAGTTATAACCTAAAGACATTTTCAACAGGCTTCCACCGCTGAAGGCTAAATCCAAAGGGGGGCTCTCTTTAACTGGTGACTATAATTAACCAGGATAGGCTAAATCTTTGAAAACTATAGCAAATTAAGGTTTTGCCAGATTAAGTTTCAAAGTTACAGATACAGTAGTCAGGAAATCTTTTTACTGATGAGGTTTTGCCATAAGTAGCTACAAAAAACTAGATGTGACTTTAGCACCTAAAACTGAACTTACAATTAAAGCAATAAAATAGTTTCATAACAGTTATCTTTTCGGGTTGCACAAACTCCATTCCAAATTGAAAAATCTTTAAGTGAAAAAACACCAAAGAATTGTTACCTCTAATCAGTGAATAAAATGGAAGGTGATAATTACATACATAAATTATTATGCTGAACACAACTTAGTATGTATTTTAATTCTGATCAACTATAAATTTAATCTATGCAAAATTGATGTTTTTAGTAAAAAGTGTGTATTCATTATACACGCATAGATAGGATTGCTGCCTGAAGTGTCAAGCCAGGTTGGTGGCCTTTTCTTCCTTTCCAGTTTTAATGGCACTTCCTTGGCACAACCACTGTAATTTCTGTGTTTCTCTCTTATCCCGTGTACAGTAGGCAGAGGATGCCTATGGCCAACCCCAATAAAAATCCTGGGTGCTGAGTCTCTTAACGAGCTTCCCAGGTACACATATCACATGTGTTGCCATCATTCAATGCAGGGGCAATTAAGTATATCTTGTGTGACTCCACTGCAATTTTCAACTTTTTCATCTCATGGCACATATAAATTAATTACTAAAATTCCATGACACACACACACACACACACAAATATTTTTTTGCTGATCTAAAAATAGGTTTAATTTTTGATTCATTCATACTGGATGGCTATTGTGTTGGCTGTTGTCTTTTTTTTTTTTTATTTGACAACTTACGGGGAAACAGCTCAGTGCCCCTGCCTAACTAGTCAGGTATTGCATGTTTTAAAAATGTTTGCCACGGCCAAGGTGACTCAGTTAGTTGGAGTGTCAGCCCAGAACCAAAGGGTTGCAGGTTCAATTCCTGGTCATGACACATATCTGGGTTGAGGGTTTGATCCCTAGTCCAAGTGCAAAAGACCCCACCCCCGCTGTTTGGGTGGGTATCAGAGGCAACCAATTGATGCTTCTTTCTCCCTCTCCCCCCATCTCTGAGAACAATGAAAAAAAAAAGTCCTTGGGTAAGGAAAAAAAGAAAGTCCTTGTAGTGCACCATTTGAAAATTGCTGCCCCACTGTGAAAGGACTCTTAGAAGCTTATGCCTCCTCTCTTCTGGCCTTCATCTCAAACACCTTTTCCTTTTACTGATTTTACTTTGTATCCTTTCACTCTAATGACTCATAGCCATGAGCACAACTATATATTGAGTCCTGTGAGTTCTCCAAGCAAGTTACCAAACCAAATATTGGTCTCTGGGACTCATGACACAATGGTAAATAGATATGTTTATGGTGCTAACTCCAAATTTTTCTCCAGAAATTAATTTCCTACTGAGCTCAGACAATTGGCATACCTTGGAAACATTGTGGTTTTGGTTCCAGACCACAATAAAGTGAGTATCTCAATAAAGCAAGTTGTATTCTTTTTGTTGGTAGAGGGTCTTGCCTTCAATTTGTAAAAAACACATTTGTGAAGTGCAGTAATGTGAAGCACAATAAAACAAGGTAAGCCTCTATTTTATCCACATGTATTGTGCCCCATCACAAACTTAACATGGCCAAAGCAAAACTCTTGACTTCCTCTACCATACCTTCTCCCCAAGCCTCATCTCAGTAGAGGGCACCACTGGCCATCCATTTATGTCAAAAACCTAAAAATAATCTTTGGTTTCTCTTTTCCCTCTCTACCATCGCCTACTCAACTCCCATAAATCCTATCAGTCTACATTGTGGGGGGGGGGGGGGGGGGGGGGGAGCAAATCCATCCACAAAATAAAAAACCAATAAATAGAAGCTATTCTTCTCTCACTTCCTCTGAGTCCTAGCCAGTGTCACCTCTAGCCTGTAGTAGAGCAATACCCTCCAAACTCATATCCCTTGCCCTTCTCTTGGCCCTTACAACTCATTCTCCAAACCAAGCCAGAGGGATCTTTTAACAATGTGATGAATAAATATATCATTCTCTTGCTTAAAACTCTTCATCACTGATACCCCAAAATCCTCTCCTACCACTTAAGGGGCATATGTGACTGGCACCTGCTTACTTCTCTGATATTATCTGGATGCCACTCTTCTCATTGCTCAATGTGTTCTAATCAAACTGGCCTCCATCCTGATCCTCTTAACATGCCAAGATTATTTCTACCCGATGTTCCTACTTCATGTGAATACCTCAAATGCCATTTCCTGAAAAGAGGCCTTCCTTCGCCACTCTGGGAGAGATCCCACTCTAGAATGCCATTCTATTTTATTATGTCCACATTCTCACTCTGGAAGTGTCTTGTTCATTTATTTGTCCTTGCCTGCCTTCTTCACAGCTGCTCCCTACTGTCCCGATCAGTTCATGGCACACAGAAGGTAGTCAAATACTCACTAAATGAAAAATAAGGTGCGAAACCATCTTCAAAATGAGATGAAAACAAGAAGGCATTTGTGTGGAAAAACAGGTCAAAGTCTGGTTGATTCAATTGCCATTCAAACTAAATCTACCCTATGATCTTGGTGGATCTCTCTGACTTGAAAGGTTTAGTGTGGGGATTTTTTGGGGTGTGGGGGTGGGTGAGGAAGGAAGTAGGAAATTATCATAAAGAAATTCCTAATAAGTTTTGGTCGATATTAATAGGTCAACTATCTTTGTTCATCAACTGACTGCAGAAAACCCATTACAGAGAGCACTTCTTGCTGTTGATAAGGTACATCAGGACTGGAGCAGCTAGTCTTTCTGTTCTAACAATGGTAGGGGGAGGGGGCCAGGAAACACGGGGATTCCAAATAGGACCTTAAAAGAACTAGAAGAATACAAATATAAATAAATAAATTAGGGTTTATTTATTTATTTTTTTAATTAAAAAGGACCGGGTTTATTTTTCCCACAATGCCACGGAATCTGCCAAAACCTTTTTATAGTTACTTCTAGTTAGGCTTTAAGATGTTACCACATAGAAAAGAAATTTTCAATCCTGGTATTGCGCTTTCCACCTCTTCTACCCCTTTCTACTTACCCTTTTCTGGATTTGGGGCACCTAACGATTATTGTTCAATTTTTTAAATAAAAATGTTGTACCTGTTAACCTTACAGACAACTATTTTAGTCAATTTCCTATACTCTAAATTAATTTACTAACTCATCAAATACATACCAAATCACTCTCTGAGCCAGGGCAGATCAGAGTGCTGCCTGGCTCCAGGGATACCACTGCTGAGTCCCACCGAGGCCACAGAAATGGTATGGGACTCCCCGAAGCTACCTGCCCCAGCAGCTCTGTGCCAGACTCTGCGGGAGGTGCTTGGGATACAGCAAGGAACAAAAAAGGAATGGTCCTTCTCTTCACAGAGTTTATAATTTAGTATATTCCCATAAAGGAGCAATGACCTTGGATCAATCTCTGCACTATGTACATTCAAATGCACTGTTTTACTTTAGCCTCACAACTCTAATTAGGAAAGTTAGGCCTGAAAAGCTAAGTGTCAGATATAAAGCCACCCAGTGTTGGAGGCAGAGCTGCAGCCACTGTCTAAGAAACTGAACTAAATCTCCTCAAAACAAAACAAAACAAAACAAAAAGCCTGTTTCCAGAATCATGGATACAGAGAGTTTTGATGGTTGTCAGATGGGAGGGGGCTGTGGGGGAACAGGTGAAGAGGTGAGGGGATTAAAAAGTACAAATAGGGAGTTACAGAATAGCCACGGGACACACTGCGTACCGCATAGAAATCTCTTAGACATACGCCAGGGTCGAATGACCAAAATACAATGTAACTGCAATGCTTTATGGGTTCGTGCAATTATATAGTTTTTCGTAGATTGACCTGCACGGTTTCCACCAATGAGATTGCTTCATTCGATGTGGACAAGACAGTGTGTTGACATCTAAAGTCCATAACAGATGGCGCGTGAAAAACAAGAAAACTCGTGAGCAGTCCTTAACAGATGGCGCACGAAACACGAGGAAACTCGTGAGCGGTACACAATGTGTTAAGTACAGCATTGGAAATGGAGCAGCCAAAGAACTTAAACACATGACCCATGGACATGAACAATGGTGGGGGGATTGCCTGAGGGAGTCGGGGGTGGGAGTAGGGGTGCTGGGGGGAGAGGGGGAAAATGGAAAAAATCAGGACAACTGTAACAGCATAACTGATCAAATGTATTTTTTTTAAAAAGCCTGTCTCCAGTTTCAAATAGCTACTCTAGCAGTTTGTTCTAGGCTTCCTCTCTGTTACAAGGAGACAGCATTTATTCAAGTTCACACACATCCTGCTCCTCCGGTGTCCATGTTCACCAAAAGCCAAGCCAGCTGTGTAGTGGACAAACAAAAGTCTTCCTTTGAGTCTCCAGAAAGCTAGATATCATTTTTTTTTCTTTTGGATTTCCCATTTTACTCCTTCAAATCTTTTATGGAATGGCAGACTTATTTTCACATTTAAGATCTTTCACTTACACTTTAGACCCTAGAACAATTTTTATTTAACCCACAAGTCTCCTTTGTGTCCTCTCAATTTCCTCCTGTTAAGACTTTTATTTTTATATGTTTACTTAGTAATATTCTAGTGAAAAATAGTTCTTCTCTGCTACTCCTGGGCAACTAACTTGTGTCTATAGAAAAACAATTTATTTTCAAATGAAAAGAGTGATTTACAAAACTTTTACTCAAATGGATGTTTTCTGTGATATTAGTTACACGTGTGCTCTGTGCACCAGTCCTGTTTCAGAACACAACGGTGACTTCATATGATGCAGCCAGAGCAAATATCTACTTTCCACACTAGTAATTATCTTTGCAGCTACAGTAATGACCACTATTTCTAGTAAACCAGACATCTAGACCTCCAGAAGGAAGGAAGTAAAAATAAAGGCATAACCAACTAATTTTTCGCTAATTTTGTTACTGGAAAATTCCCTTGTACTACTTGGCTTTGTTTTTTGACCATAAGCTAATGAGACAATTCAGCCAAGCCAAGGAAGATACCACATTCAAGAAATTATTTTAATAAATTACTACATCCAGGGAAAAAGATGTGTTTCAAGTGCTAGACTAAATCCTTGCAATGCATCCAACTGTTTACATGTTTCGGGTAGTTTTTAAGGGCCCAGCAAAACATAAAACGATAATTTAGCCTTTGTACCACTCTGTAAAGCACGTCTCTGTTAAGTACAAGCTGTTGATTTACAAAAGTTATCTTGAAAAAGGAAAACACAAAAAGGAGAAAAGGTAATGTATTTAAACATGAAATAAAACAAGAGATAACATACCTGGCAACATGAGAAAAAGCATCCACAAGGACAGATTCAAATTCTCTAGTGAATTCAGGTCCTTTCCTTTTACTGTTTTGGATGACATCATTTGCTAAGTACAGAAAAGTAAGCTTTCTATTTGATTTGGCTGGAAAAAAGAAAAGAAGATAATTTAACTTACACCAAAGAAATTCTCAATTCAGAACTCTTTTGCCCTAAGCAACTCCTAAAAAAATATTAAGACAAGCAGTATCTACTTGAAGTCAATGGTGCTATGTGTTTGAGAAACAACATAAGGGTTCGAGGATATCATTTTTGTAAAAAGCCCAACAAGAAGGGGCCATCTTCATTTCTGTTATTTTAATCAGGGTAATTGGCAGTAAAACAAAGATAATATAAAGAAAACTTCTCCAGGGTAAGCAGTCAATACTCTCCAGAAGACATGTTAAAACCAAGGTTTTCACTTATTCTATTGCAAAAATGAAATTTTCTAAGTCACAGTTAATTACCAAATGCTGCAGAATGAAAGATTGAGTTAGGTTCTTGTAATTTATGCCCCTAGACTGAGAACTTCCCTTTGAACATTCTAATAACCATCATCAGTCAATTATATCAACTCTACAATCCAAAGGAATCTCTAGATGCACCAATGGATATTTATCTCAAATACAAATAAACATTAATGTTACATTATTAATGAAAATTTACACATGTCTGAAATCTGGATATGCAAAATTATGGCTCCCACAAAAACCATAATTCTTCTCTTTCATACATATTAAATGTAGTATTTCCTATTACTCTATATGGTATCATATATTAAACTATAAAAACCTCATGCAATATATGAGTTACAGTTGCTTGGGGGAACATTACTGAATTTCCTGGCTTCTATGCACATAACTTTTCAACCATAAAGTTACATCATTACAATTTTTGGCCCCAGTTTTCTTTTAAAAGAAATAAATAAAAACACAATCAGACAGTTCAAAACACTGTTTTCTCCAATGCCCAAGTATCCGAAGAAGTCAAGCAAGCCCTATGTCAACCTTTACACACGCCCAGTCCTTACTACATTTCTCTCAGAAACCATCTGTTTCTTTTGAAACGCACACAGCATGTATAAATTCTGACACAGCAGGCATAGATCTGACATTTTTAAATGTAGCTACAGTAGAATAACTCAAGGTAAAAACAAGATTTACAAGTATATTATAGTTTAAATTGATGATTTAAAGTGCTCAAAAAATTAAATATGGATATACTGAGTTGTATCAACCTTCTGGTAATAACCTAATTTTGATGGCCATCTGATGAGAATAGTGAAAACCTGGAGCTATGTTGTTCCAAGGTATGAGCGTGGCAAAGGACTTTTTTTATAAAAGAAGCAAACCTTGTTCTCGGATTTTGGAGCAAGTAAAACTGCCCAGTCTATAATGCCATGAAAATCACCAGTCAAAAGTAAAACAGAACTTCAACGAAGCAAAATTGGTTTCAAGAAAGTGAAGTGTTACAAATTCCATACACTTAATGTTAAAAAACAAACAAACAAACAAACAAGAATCCACGTAATAATGCGTCATGGACCTTCAAGAAAGACTTGATATATTTTTCATTATTACAAATATGTCAGCTAAGAGCCCAGAAAGCCAAGGTTTTCACTATCTAAAATGCAAATTAATTTTCGTCTTCCTTAAACTTAGCAACTGGGTGTTATTTAGGATAAAACTTTATCCCTCCACTTCCAGCATCGTGAACAGACAACATAAGCACCATGTGTGTAAAGATGATATGACAAAGCCCTAGAGCACCTGAACACATCATCATAACACCAACAGCACACACACCCTCTACCCCAGCCCCAAGTGGCAGCTCACTTACTCAGGTGTCCTTCCAATATGACAAAATAGACCTTTTCACACTCTACCTATGCCCATTCCAAACTGGATGAAATAGTTATTTAGCAAAGTTTAAATAACTAGTTGACAAAAAATTTTCATCTATTTGGCTGCTTCTGATATCTAGAAAAGTAAGTTTGGAAATAAGGCTTATTTTTATTTGCATTCAGGCCAAGATACAAAAACATTAGTAAAAAACATTCAACTAACAGCATTTTATACCAAATTACTCCATGAAGGGGAGAAGTTCCTAGAAAATGGAAAGAAAATAATACACCAGCAATAGAAGTAGTACTTGAGCAAGAAAAAGTAATTTTTTAAAAGTCTGGTAAATATTTGAAGGCAACTCAGAGACAGTCTGTGAACATCTTAGGGAAAATGACTTGACCATAGATAAAAGTGTCCACTTTTAAAGACTTGGGGTGGGCTAGAACCTAAGGGGCCAGTCAATTTGAACATTAGGGCACAAAATCTTTTCCACTTTAGGGTGGGGGCATTTTCAATTCATGAAGGAATTGATCCTGATACTTGGAAGAGCATCCTCTAGCTCTGCACTGTCCAACATGGTAGCCCCTAGCCACACGAGTGAGCAGTTGAATTGTGGCTAGCAAAATTCACTAATTAAAAACTTTTTTGTATTTATTTAAATCTTGCATTCCTTAGTCACACGTGGAGGCAAGTGGCTACCGTGCTGGACAGCACGGATATGAAACATGTCTATCATCACAGAAAGTTGCATTAGTGCTGTTTAGTCAAAATGTCAGAGATTATAATTTAATTCCTAACCTGTTCTTTTAACTGTGTAACAGACACCATGCTAAACACTTAGGTGTTACAAAAGAAACAAGAGGTCTAGTTTCTCCCTCCTAGTGAAACACATCCTAGTGAAAAATATATAACTAGTAAGAATAAAATACAGTAGGTCCCTCAGTATTATCTATGGGGGGACTGTTTCTAAGGCCTCCCCAACCTCCCAACCCATGTGTGAATAACAAAATCCGGAGATGCTCAAGTCCCTTGTATAAAATGATATATAATATAGTATTTGCATATCCTGAACAAGTCCTCCCATGTATTTTCAATCATCTCTAGATTATATATATTACCTAATACAATGTAAACACTATGTAAATAGTTGTTATACTACATTGTTCAGGGAAGAGTGACAAGAAAAAAAAATATGTGCATGTTCAGTACAGATGCAACCATCCTAGGCCCAACTACGTAATAGAATATCTGGAACATTTTCAATCCACAGAACCAATGGATACAGGGGGCCAACTGTAAGTGCTAAACTGGCATGGGACGGGAGGCAGTGATTAATTTTTGTAAACAAAAGCACTACAGGTTAGGTTGGAAGGTTATGGTCACCTTCACTTATTAAGTGAACTGAGTGAGGTACTGGGCACTTCGAAGTACTGTGGGCCCCTGAACAAAGCACTTAATCTCTGTATCTTCATGATCTCTCCTATCGAATGGTGGATAACAATGCATGTGGGCCTACTTACGACATAACTTTCCATATGCAATTAGGGTTAAAGGAGCTTCATAAATGAATGCACTCTATAAACTTTTTTGGTTTTTGTTTTTGTAGTAACTTAAGTAGGGTGAAGAAGACTCCACAAATGTGATATTTGAGATGGACTTTGATGTGTCTCTGGTCCCACCAGGCAGGATCCTCCAGAGGTGAACCACATTTTTTTCATATCTCAGATGCTGAAAATATTTGAACGGCAGAGTGGGGTACATGAAGGAGCCTCTAGGAGCTCTAGACTCTATCCCCCGACTGCCCAGAAGGCTGAAGGGACCCATGATATTTGAGGGGTCTCTGCTAGAGGGCTAGAAGCAGGTCTCCTAAAAGAATTCTGAATTTTGTTGTCCGCCATCCTGATGTAGTCTGAGCCTCACCAGTTATAAGGCTTTAAAAATATCATTTAGGCACTTCAGTCTCCTCCTTTGTAAAACAGGGTGGAATCCCTACCTCACAGAGAAGACAAGTCCAGATGCTTCCTAGGCTATAAAGGGCCTTCCACACACGGGCTGTCTAAAACAGCTCTAAGGTTCACATCCTTAGCACTCTGCAATGGAACTCGTCAGGGTATCTGATACATACCTGTGCAGGTGACCATCTTTCCCCACCAGACTATAAGCAAAGGCCATGCCTCACACAGAGTAATTTGTAATCCCATCTCGCCATTATTGATCGAATGCCTACACTGTGCCAGACACCACGCTGGATCTTCATTTGAATTATCCCCTTTACTCCTCACCATAGCAAGTTGTTTGAGCCTCAGATTTTCCTCATCTGCAAAGTTTCTACTTCATAGGACTGAGAATTTAAGAAGACAGTGTATGTAAAAATATCAGTACTGTGCCTGGCACATAATAAAGGCATGGCAAATACCATCTCCATTTTACAGGTAGGGAAACAGAGGCAAAGTGGTTAAGCTGCTGGGGGCAGTAAATGTCAAAGTCAGGCTTAAATTCCAGATAGTTGGCCTCTGGAGCCAGCATGCTTTCAAGCACCCAACCTAGTGTCTGGCACACAACAGGCTGAGCTCAGTGGATCGGGAGCAGGGTCTGGAATCAATGAAAGTTGCCTGGGAAAGGGAGCCTAGGTGGTGTTTGGCCTTTGAAGCTCTCTATACCCAAAGTATAAACAGCACTTCACAGGGCTGTCCTGAAGACTAAGTGTGCGGATATACGCAAAGGTCTTGGCATGGTGGCAGGCACAGAATAAGGGCTCTGTAAATGGTGGCAGCTATCCTTGTCCTTGTTTTACAGATGAGAAAACGGAGAAATTTGCCCGACATCGCTCCGCTAGTAAGTGGCTGAGCCAGGACTCGATCTAAGAAGTCTTACGCCAGTCCGCTGGCTCTTATTCCAAAAGAATATGCCCAGAAGAGCGCCTGGCACACGACAATCTAGGGCCACTAATAGTCACAAGTGTCCGGAGGAGCCCGAGGGGAAAGCGGCTGGCTGCACTGGGAGTCTGGGCCCTGCAACCCTGGCCAGCGGAATCTCAGACAAGTACCTTAAGCCTTTCCGGGCCTCAATCTCCTTTTTCTGAGAAATGGGGATAACACTGTCTCCAACCTCCGAAGCGCCATCAGGGGCCCGGCCCAGCAAAGCAAGGCTCAGGGGAGAAGCTAGGGGGGGCTCAGCAGTGGGTGGGGGAGAGGACAACCGGGGGAGAGGCCCCGGGGATGGGGAGGGGGTGTTTACCTTTGCGGAGCTCGCGGTGCCACACCGAGACGATGGGTCCTGCGTGCTTGCGGTGGTGGATGAGCCACAGGGACAGGGTCTGCACGCTCTGCTGAGAGTTGCTCAGCTCCGAGAGCTTCTTTTCCAGCGCCGACTCCGAGAACGAGGACATGGTGGCGGCGGTGAGGCCCGGCAGGGAGCGGCCTGGGCCGCCCAGTGCGGCGGGAAGAGCGACAGCACGAGGCCGGGACCCCACCGGACCTCCTGCTGGACTCTCCACTGACTGACAGACAGCCAGGCGGGTAAGGGGGGAGGGGGATGGGTCTCCGCAGTAACAGCCGCCCGCGCCGCCGCCACAAGATGGCCACCGACCTCTCACCCCGCCGCGAGAGCAGGGTCAAAGGGCAAGGACCGGAGTAGCTGGACACTGAGAGGTCTCAGGGCTGTAGAAAAGCGCCTCCGATGGCGGCGGCGGCCTCTCTGAACCTCGTTCAGGGCACTTCAAAAGTAACAGACCAGGAAAGGAACGCAGTTTGGCGGCCTCCGGAAGGCGCTTTAACCGCTCGCGCCCGCACGCCGGCGCAGTGTGTCTCACCGGAACCCTTTCTCCGGGTCCAGCAGAACCTTTCTGGCGCGGTATGGCGCGCCAGTTAGCGCGTCACTTCCGGCGGGGCGGAGGAGGCGGGAGAGGGAAAGGCTGGAAGACGAGGTAAGGCAAGAGTGGCGGGAGCAAGAGGGAGACCAGCGGGAAGGAATCCGGAGGGGACCCTGAGGTTGAGAGATAATGACCTGGATATGTGAGGGGGGCGGGCCTTCTCACCTGGCAGGCCCTAGGCCGCACTCTTCCTCCATGTACACCGATCCCTGGCCACCCTCCCACTAAAACTTTTTGCTCTGCCAAGCCACCCACGTGCACTTTTCACGCCTCCATGGCACGACTCTGGCTGTAATTTCCTCAAAGGCGACGCCCCCCCTCACCTGATGAGCCCCCATTCGGCTCCAGAGCCACCCTTTAATGTCCAGTTCTGACGTATAGCCTGTGACAGCATCGCCATAAAACACACTGTTCTGCTCTTGGCTCTTAATTGGTTGCTTTATTCGTGAAAGTACATGCTGCCCTTTGGGGGTACATTTGTGCCTCAGATTTAAATAATGTTTACTTTTGGAGGGATTAGAGGTAGAGAAGTCAATGAGTGCATTGACCTCCTTTAAGAAACACTATTTCAGACTCGGAGCCCCTTCCCTTTTTAAAAAAGTTTTAAATTCCAGTTATCAGATCAGCAGGAAAGTTTGTCCACCTACTCTGGAGGAAGTTAGGTTACTGGAATTTCAGACTTTCCTGACCATCATGGAACCTACCAGTTGTGGGCAGACTCCAATTAGGAGATAGTTTTCTAGTTGATGCCTGTTTTTGCTTTCACACACTGCGTTGTAGTTCTTTGCTGAGATGCTTCCCCTCCAGACCAGAATCATCGTCATGGTCAATGAAATGAGCAGTTGCTATAAGCTGGACTGTGCTTTCACATGTAGTAACTCATTTAATCCTTAGGAAAAAGCTGTGAGGTAGGTATTATGTAATTCCTGTTTGGCAAATGAGGAAACAGGCTGAGAGAGGTTAGGTGACCTACCCAAGATCCCATAACTAAGATTAGAGAGGACTACATCTTATCTATCTTCTTTACCCCAGCACCTGATCGATAGCTGAATGAGTGAATATAAAAGAAGTGAATAGCGTAAAATCACATAGTCAGCATTTAATAATTATAACATAGGGCCTTTGAGTTCAAATCTAGTGTATCCATCTTTGTGTATTTAGTAACACTGTCACGTACTGAACACTTTTGTACCAAACTATTTTGTATTAAGCACATTACACACATTCTTTTATTTAATCATTACAATAGGCCTTTGGGGTGGGGGTTATTATCACTATTTGATAAATAAGAAAACAAAACGTGTGAGTAATCTGTCCAGTGTCACTTGGATATAAGAAATGACAGAGCCAGGAGTCAAGTCAAAGTTATATGATGTCTGATCCCAAATTCTTCACTCCTGAGCCAGTGGTCAGTCATTCTTTCAGCAGATAATTTTGAGCAACTATATCTGAAGTATTATTCTAGGCAAACAGAATCCATGCTATCAGAAGCTTAACTTCTATAGGGGAAGACACATAAACAAACATGCAAGTGTAAAATGAGCCAGAGAGTGATGAGTGCATTAAATACAAATCAAGGAGGGAAAGGGGATGAGGAATGCATGTGTGGGTGGACAGGAGTCTATTATAAATGCTGGTCAGACATTTGAAAAAGCCGTATGCCATGTGGTGGGTTGTTCCAGAGGGAAAACCAAGTACGAAGTCCTGAGCTTAGGCCACTTGGGGCACTGTTGAGGAACAGCAAGGAGGCCCATAAAGCCGAAGTGATAGAGTCAGGGGGCTGGAAATGAGCTCAGAAAAGTAGCCAGGGACCATATTGCATGGGGACTTGCAGGGGATATTAAGGACTTGGGATATTACTGGGTGAGATGAGAGTCCATTGGGTGATGTTGAGTGAAAGAGGAGCATTGTGGCTGTTAAGTGGAAAATAGACAATAAGGATGCAAGAATAGAAGCAGAAGACCAGTTTGGCAGCTGTTGTAGTAACCCAGGTGAAAGGATAGCTCACACCACGGTGTAGGTGGTGAGAAAGGTTCACACTATAGGGATACAGCGGTACCTCCACACTCATTAATTCATTCCGAAGAGTGGCAAGCAAGCAATGATTGATGAGCCATTTTCTCTCGTGGGGTGGTGTCATGACTCGTACAAGTTCTAGGAAGTGCGACAAGAGGCGAGCAAGCGCTGAGTGCTGAAACATTTTTTTTCTCATCAAAATGTGACAAGTACCAGATTTGATGAGTTCTGAAGCTGACGAGCACCAAGGTGTGACTGTATTTTGGAAGAGGTAACAATTTGCCTACAGATTAGATGTGAGGTATAAAAGACAGACAAGAGTTTATACCACCCCAAGGTTCTAGCTTAATTGTAAGAGTGCATTTTCCATTTACTGAATGGAGGAAAGAGCTGGCTTGGAGAGTAAAAGCTGGAGTTTAGATTTGTACATGTCCATTTGGAAATGCCTATTCAAGTAGAGATGTCATCTTGTAGGCAATTGGATTTATGGATCTGGAGTTAAAGGAAGGGATCAGGCTAGAGATAAAAATGTGGGAGTTACAAGAGGGAATAAGTGTAGAAAGAAAGGGGCCCAGTGTGACTGAGTCCTAGGACACTTCAACATTTAGAAGTCTAGAAGATGAGGATGATATAATAATGTGATTTTTCTTCTTTAGCTTGTTAATATTAATTACACTGACCGATTTTCAGTATGGAGCCAGCCATTTATCCCTGGAATAAACCCTAGTTTGTTACGATGTATAATTCTTTTTACATACTGCCAATTATATTTCCAATATTTTGTTTAGGATTTTTGCTGAGGGGAGGAAGTTGGCCTGCAGAGTTTTTTTTATTTTTGTATTGTCTTTTTTGAGTATGGTAGTATCAGGATGATACTGGCTTCATAAAATGGGTTGGAAAATATATCCTCCTCTTCCTTTTCTAGAAGATTGTGTAGAATTGGTGTTAATTCTTATTATTTCTTTTTTAATGTTTGGCTTCTTTTTTAAAGATTTTATTTATTTATTTTTAGAGAGAGGGTAAAGGAGGGAGAAGGAGAGGGGGACCTGGCCTGCAACCCAGGCATGTGCCCTGACTGGGACTGGCGAACCTTTGGTTCGCAGACTGGCACTCAATCCACTGAGCCACACCAGCCTGGGCTATTTTTTTATGTTTTGAGTGTTCTGTTTTATTTTAAAAAATTTTGAAATCACTTTTTATTTTTCAATTACAGTTGCAATACAATATTATATTAGTTTCAAGTGTACACCCCAGTGATTAGTCATTATATAACTAAGTGATTCCCGATAAATCTTGTACCCATCTGACACCGTACATAGTTGTTAGAATATTACTGACTGCATTCCCTATGCTGTACTTTACATTCCCATAACTATTCTGTAACAACCAATTTGTGCTTCTTAATCCCTTCACTTTTTTCCATCATCCCCCAAACCCCACTCCCATCTGGCAACTGTCACAACTTTTCGGTATCTATGAGTCTGATTCAGTTCTGCTTGTTCATTTATATTCTCTTTTAGATTCAGTTGTTGATAGATTTGTATTTATTGCCATTTTATTGTTCATATTTTTTATCTTTTTATTTTCTTAAAGAAGACCTTTTAACATTCCATGTAATACTGGTTTGGTGGTGATGAACTCACTCTGCACTTTTTTTTTTTTTTTTTTTTTTTTTTGATCTGGGAAGCTCAATTCTAAGTGATAGTTTTGCTGGATAGAGTAATTTTGGTTGTAGGCCCTTGCTTTTTGTCACTTTGAATATTTTGTGCCACTCCCTTCTAGTTTGCAAAGTTTCTGCTGAGAAATTAGCTGACAGTCTTATGGGGGCTCCCTTGTAAGTAACTAACTGCTTTTCTCTTGCTGCTTTTAAGATTCTCTCTTCATTTTTATTTTTATTTTTTAAAAAGTTTTATTTATTTTTTAGAGAGGGGGAAGGGAGAGAGAAAGAGAACAAGAGAAACGTCAATTGGTTGCTTCTTGCATGTCCCCACCTGAAGACCTGGCCCACAACCCAGCCATGTGCCCTGACTGGGAATAGAACTGGTGACCTTTCAGTTCTCAGGCCAGCACTCATTCCGCTGTGCCACATGAGTCAGGGCAAGAATCTCTCTCTGTTTTTAACCTTTCACATTTTACTTATGATGTGTCTTCGTGTGGGCTTCTTCAGGTTCAACTTGTTTGGGACTCTCTGTGCTTCCTGGACTTGTTTATTTTCTTCACCAGGTTAGGGAAGTTTTCTGTCATTTTTTTCAAGTAGGTTTTCAATTTCTTGCTCTCCTTTTCCCAGCACCTCCATGATACGAATGTTGGTATGCTTGAAGTTGTTCCAGAAGCTCCTCACATTATCTTCATTTGGGGGGGGATTCTTTTTTCTTTTTGCTGTTCTGATTGGTTGTTTTTTGCTTCCTTATATACTAAATAGCTGATTTGATCCTCACCTTCATCTACTCTACTGTTGATACCCTATAAATTATTCATTTCCGTTAGTGTATCCTTCATTTATGACTGATTCTTTTTTTGTGATTTCTGTGTCCTTTTTTTCATGCTGTTGAAGTTCTCACTAAGTTCCTTTAGCATCCTAATAACCATTGTTTTGAACTCTGTATCTGGTAGTTTGCTTGCCTCCATTTCATTTAGTACTTTTTTAGGCTATTTCTCCTGTTCTTTCATTTGGGACCTGTTTCTTTGTCTCCACATTTTGGCTGCTTTCCTATGTTTGCTTCTGTGTATTAAATAGAGCTGCTGTGTGTCCTGGACTTGGCAGAGTGGCCTTAGGTCTTAAAAGGCCCGGTGGCACAGCCTCTGCAATTACCTGAGCTAGGTGCTCCAGGTGTACCCCAGTATGGGCCTGTGCACTGTCCTGTTGTAGTTGAGCCTTGATTGCTCTTGGCATCACTAGGAGGGATTGACTGCCCTGGACCCATTGGCTTCAAGGACCAGCTCTAACTGCAGCAGAGGAACTGCTGTGTAGGAGCCAGCCCTATAGAGCAGGATTTCGGTGCTCTTCAAGTACAGCCCTTGAGTGTGTCACTTGTGGA